GTCTCTAAATAAAAAATACTTAGAATGTCCCTTTGTGGTAAAGCACCCTTGGGTTCAATCCCCAGTAACAAAAAATAAAAAAAAGGCTCTTATATAAATTAATGTTGAGGATTATAGATAATATTATCTTGGGCTTGTTTAAAATAATTAAGAAAGGCGGTAAACCGGGATAATATCAAATTAAAAAGCTTCTGAACAGAAAGGAAACAAGAGTATGAAGAAAGAACCTATAGACTAGGAAAAAACCTTTGCTGGCTACTCTTCCAACACAGATTTAATATCCAGAATATATAAAGAACTAAAATAATCTAGCACCAATAAAACAAAAACCCAATTAATAAATGGGTAAATGAACTAAACAGACATCTCTCAAAAGAAGAAACACAGAGCTGGGGTTGTGGCTCAGTGGCAGAGTGCTTGCCTAGAATTTGTGAGGCACTGGGTTTGAATCTCAGCACTATATATAAATAAAAAATAAAGGTTCATCAATAACTAAAAAAAAAAAAATTTAAAAAAGGAGAAATACAAATGGCCAACAAATATATAAAAAGTTAAACATCTTTAGTAATTAGGGAAATGCAAATCAAAACTACATTGAGATTTTATCTCACTCCAGTTAGAATGGCAGTCATCAACAATACAAAGAATAGCCATGTATGATACACATCTGTAATCCCGGCAACGCAGGAGGCTGAGGCCGGTTACAACCCTCTGGGGAAGATGGCAAAGTGGCCTTCCTGGCAGTGCTGTCTAGGCAGCTGATCTGAATGCCAAGGATGCTGAAATACTCTCCATTTACTAACTAGATGTAGGCTCATTCCAAATTATGTGGAAGAGAGTTCACTTGGCAAGTATTCTGTTCTCTATAGATCAGCAAGTGTTTACAATGTTTTTATACTTCCAGATTAATGGCAGAGGAAATCTTGGTTTGAATTCTATTGTTCTGCTGTTTACAGAGGCAGCAAATCTGAAGTGTCTAATTCTGGGACCTAAGGACCCATAGCCAGAAGAGGAGAAGACAAGGCCTGTTTCCCTTGCTCACTCTGCCTTCCCAGAGGTTCTTCTTGATCCACCGAATCATTCCAGTCCTTAACATATGGCACCCTTCTGGGGGTTCAAGACCTCCCCAAGTGGGGCCGAAGTGCAGAGACTGCAGGCTGGGGGAAAGGCCTTGGAGAGGTCTGAGCTGACAGGCCGGGTGGGCGAGGGCCAAGGCAGCTGTCTGGGATGACCGGGCTGAGTGGGCGCGTCCCGAGGCTCCGGGCACACAGGCAAATATAATTCCAAATAAATAGTCTTAAGTAAGTAAAGATAAATAAAAAGAATTAAAAAGAGGGGTGGGGTGAAAATCCTGGAGAGGAGCCCTGGAGGAATTGGGGGAAAAGCAGGGTGAAAAGGGACACGTCCAGGAACCCGCAGCGCTGAGTAGGAGACGCCTGGGAGCCGCAGCCTCCGGGAGGGCGTGAGTTCAGGTCGCGCCGGTCCCCAACCCGGTGCTCACCAGTATGAGGGCTGCGGCCGCCAGTGCCACGCAGAGCACCGCCAGCTGCAGCAGGAGCGGAGCCATTCTCCATGCCGAGCCGCCACCTCCCGCCCTATCCAGAACCTACACACACGCGGAAGCGCTCTAGGAGTTCCGCCTTCCGCCTCCGAGGAGGACGCGCCAGCCGGGCGCCCGCCGCCCACAGCGCCCCCGCGTGACCAATCTCAGCCGCGACCCCGGAGCCAGCGCTGTTCACAGCGTCCCCGCGCGGTCAAGCGAAGAACAAGCAGCTCGCTTTCCAGATTTAGCAAGTAAAATGCAAAAAGCCTACTTAATTTGCGTTTCAGATAAACAACAATACAACTAATTTTTTAAAACATCCTTAGTGAGATGTATTTCATATATTACACAGCTCACATATTTAAATATTTTGGTTTGTTACATTAATTTTCACAACTTTTATTGGTGCAGTGCACTGTGATTAAACATAATAGTAGGATTCATTAAGACTCATTAGAACGTGCACATACTTTGCTCTACAGTACAAATTTGAGTACCCACCATTTTAAATGTATAATACAATAGCATTAATTATATTCACAATGCTGTGCATTCACCACCACTCAAACTTTCCCTGCTCCCCCATTCCCAGCACTGATAGCAACTAATAACATGCACTATTTGCGGGTATATTCATACTAAAAAAAAAAAATACTGTTCATAATGTTAGGTAGAACTAGATACAGTAAACACCGTTTTGAAATATATCCTCCATCTTAGCAGAAGAGCCACCTCATAGTCACTCTGACTCAGCCTGATTTTAAACCCCAGACAATACATCATCATGCAAAGAAACCCCAAACAAAACTTCATCATCATACAAATAAAGGAAACTGTTGTCTGGGACTGAAATACTGAAAACACCTGGATGGACATGGAATAATGACCACCTCAAAGAATAGAGGGGACAACCCATAGAACCTTTCATTGACAATCCCCTAACCGCAAAACTCCCCCCACTCCCTCAGGCCCCTGTATCTGCTCCAGGCTGTAAGTGGAAGACAAGTCTCAGTCGCCGCTGGGCCCCTTCGCTGGTTTGTCCCGAATAAACCGATGTCACTGTTGAGCTGTCTCTCCTCTTTATTTCCTCACTCGTTTCTCTCCTTACACATAAGGCATTGCCATCTGGCCAGGTGTCCAGTATTTTACCTAGTAATCGTGCCTAGGAAGGAGCTGAGAGCCTTGTCACGGCAGTCAACCGCTGAGAATGTGAAAAGTTCACATTTCTCAGGTGCTGGAGCGGAGAGCCGGTTACCTGGGGAGAGGCCATCCCAGGGGCCAGCCTAAGACCGGCGGGAAAAGGACGTAGAAACATTGGAATGATGTTTAGCATCAACAGACTTCTTTGCTATAAACTCGGTTTTCTTTTAAATTGTTGGTTTTATTCTGAACTACAAACCTTTTTCTAAAGAGGGACGCTAGTCTAATAGCAGATTCGCTAAAAATACGCCACAGGCAAGAAAACCTAGAAAGACTCTCGCTAGGGTAGGGCGGTGCGGAGCGCCACCAGGACCAGCTTCGCGGAGTCCACTCTTCCGAGTCTCCCGCCGCGGGAGTGCCGGGGAGCTCGAGTCGAAAGTGCGACCGCGGAGCTGGCGCGGGCGGGAGGTCAGCGCAGGCGCAGGCGCGCGAGCGGGAAGATGGCGGCCGGGTTCAAGTGAGTGTTGGCGGCCGGCGGGCCCTAGCGGTGTTTCCAGGCGGATGGCGGCTTCCCTTAACCCTTAGTTCGGTGCTCTGTCCTGGAGGCCGACTCCGTCAGGGTTTCGCTCCTTTCCTAGGCGACAGGAGGGACCCGGCGGTAGTCGGGTGCCAGGAGAGGCGCTTCTCCCCCCACGCGGGACGGAGTAGAGGGTTTCTGCAGAGCCCGGTCCCCACCGCGCGCTGGGAACCTGGTGCCTCGTGAGCGCACAGTCCAGGGAGGTGCAGCTGTAACCCTTTAAGCCTCGTGCCGCCCGGCTTCCCACTTCCCGTAATTTATTTCTAAAAGAATTGTGCCTCCCTCGGAAGATTTCACTCTTGGTGCCACTCTGGTGAAGCCTGTGGACTGTCAAAAGTTTTTAAATGAGCGAAATAAAGATTCCAAATCTTATTTGGAACAAGTGATGCTGAAATAGTTATTTATGTACTCGGGTTATAAACCTTGAACAAAAAAAAAATGTAATGGCGAGTGTAGTGTTGGCAATTTCAAAGTAACCGTGAACATATCTCCCACAAGTACAAAAACGAAAACATTTATGATCTCGATAGATATTGAAGTTGCAAGGTTTATTACTTTGTAGCTATAGTGGAATAATATGCTAAATTTCAGTTGTAGTAAATGTAAAGATCCTTTCTCATGATCACTAGGTTAAGAATCCCCCCTTCAGAGCGAGAATGACATGATTATTTTAACGACCGGATTAATCCTCTTTTAAAGATGTCTCAAAAAGGGTTTTGGATTGCAATCCTATGATTGAGAGTTAAGGACAATAGTGGAATGTGATTGCTACTGCAAGGGTATCTACTTTCAGTAATTACTTATAGGTGTTAACAATCATCAGAATTCGTGAAAAAAAAGTTACAGATTGTGGTGATGTGCTGCACATCACTTAAAATCTGCCAGATTTTGGATTTATGTAAAGTGTCATTAACTTACAATAGTATATTTGTAACACATTTCAGAACTGTGGAACCTATGGAGTATTACAGGAGATTTTTGGTGAGTAAAGTGGTGATGCATATGTTACTCCTTTTGGTAAAGTGTTTGATAACAATATTATGCTTCTTTTAAAGACAGATTCATTTAATTAATTTGAATTAATGAGGTCTAATATGGTTCTCTTGTTATATGTAAAATACACATCTATTTTCCTGAAAAAAAACGTTTAGAAAGAAAACTGTCGTCCTGATGGAAGAGAACTTGGTGAATTCAGAACCACAACTGTCAACATAGGTGAGGGTCTATTTTTATTTCAGCTTGTATGACATTCCCAAGTTCTTTTTTTTCCAAGATAGATTGTACCATGTATATGGGATTTTAGGATATTCTGTAAAGAGATTTCTATCTGTACAATAGCCCTGTGACTGAATAAAAATTACTAACATAAATTCAAGGACAGGGAAATCTTAAAACATTAGGTAACTGAAATATGTTGCAAAATAGTCATGTATTAGAAACACAGTTTATTGTATAGATAATGCTGTAGTTGTTTTCCCTTTAAGGACATTTCATTTTGCTTAAATACTGTACTTATGTTTTCAGGTTCAATTAGTACAGCAGATGGTTCTGCTTTAGTGAAGCTGGGGAACACTACAGTAGTTTGTGGAGTTAAAGCGGTAGGTTTAATGTCTTGTTGACATTTGACATACTAAATCAGCTTCATATAATTATGAGATAGTATTATACATTTCTAATTCTGCTGTTGATTACAGTCATCTGTTAATTTTTTTGTATTAAGTATCCTAGGAGCTTTTACCCATGTTTTAGATAATATGACCCAAGCTTAATAGCTTATGATTCATGAATATTTGAAAAATGGCCACAGTAAAACATAATCCTCATCACAACTAAGTTTTTAAAGAATTTGGTTGTATCATTTGAGAAACTAATAGGGTGATGCCTTCTTAGCCAGTAATAATGTTTGTAAATGTGCAGGCACTTGAGATTGTTCAAAAGAAAAGTTTGAGGGAATTAACTGAGTACCTGAGGTTATTTTCAGGTACCTTATTAGGTTGGGTACAGAATTATCTAGTTTCCATTTCCTGTTTTAACATGTGGTTCAGGAACTTGTCCGGACACACAAAGCTCATAAATAGAATTTGAGGCGTAAATCCGATTCTAAAGTCTTTGCTTTTTAACTTATTACAACCTGTTACTTAACCTGATTTTCTTCTTTGGTAAAGTTGGGGTGAAATTTTCAAGATTTGAGCTTTTATTTCTTACCAGGTTTTATGCTAGGGACTTAATGGCCTTATTTTATTTGATCATCATGAACAACCCTAAAAGTAGGCACTATTAAATCTCTCAGTAAGTGTGGTCTGACATTCAAACTGGGTTAGTGATTTAAGAGCTTTGGTTCTTGACCTGTATGCTAGTGGTGCCTAAATCTGGCTGTTAGTATCTTCTGAGGAATAATTTAGATTCTTGCCTACTGAATGAGTAGAAGGGTGGGGCAGAAACCCAATTACAATTAATCTTTTTGAAAAGATCCCTAGGTAACATTCTGTACATTATTCCTTTTTACCTCACAGAGGGATTGTAAGGTTTGGTGCTAACATTCTTAGACCCTCTGACACAATTCCTCAGACATAGTAGATGCTTATGATCTGGCAATTAGCTGAGCTTGTTTTTAGTAGAGCTTTTCATAACTGTATTAGTAAACTGTCTTCACAATTTTTTAGTTCCTTCTTTCAATAGAAAACATTTATTTGCTTGTATAGGAATTTGCAGCACCACCAACAGATGCCCCTGATAAAGGATATGTTGGTAAGTTCAGTGATTTTATAATTTTAATATAAATAGTTTAACA